CTACATGGCCTCCCCGTGTCCAGAGGAATCACAGGCTGATTGACTGCAGACTGACTTGACCTACAGAACTCTGACCTTCATCATCCGAGGCAGGTCTGCAAGACTCCTTTCTGCCCAGCATATCTTAGCCACCAGGCAGTGACCTGCAAACACTTGTTCTAGTGTAGCCAGAATTTCTGCCAATTCCTCAGTCCTAGAAATTTGAGGAATGAATATATGGGCCACACAAATAGCAAAAGGACAGAATTTATTGAAAGATGATAGTTAAGTGAAAGAGAGGAACAGAATTTCCAGTGGCAGAGGGGAGGCCTAAGTAGGCAGCCCATCAGGGCCTTCAGTCTAGAGGTTTGTATACTATTTTTCTTATCCTGTGAGTAGGGGATTTGGAGGAGATGGAATATATGTCTGGAACATGTCACAACCATTTGGTACCAGGGGCTTAGGCAGAAGTTAATTTCAAAACTGCTATAGTGCGGGGGAACGTAGTCGTGATCTTTGTTCCAGGCAAGCTCTTTTTTGCTCTGGGAATAGTAGGGTATGTTTTGAGAAAGGCCACCCAGATGAGATACCACTCAGGCTACTTTCTGTGACTGTGTCTGTCCAGAGAATGCAGCCAATAAAGGGCTTGCGCCTGCCTAGAGATGGGGCCTGGACTTCAGCAGGCTCAGACCTAGAAAAAATAGGGGGTCCCTGTTCAGCCCTGAGCTGGGGAACCCTGTATCACTAGGATGCTTGCCCTGAGTTCAGCTAGTGAAAGTCCTCAGCTCCGGAGACAGAAATGCACCTCCTTAGGCTTAGAGGCTACAGCATTGAGTAGGAGAGAGTACCGGGAAAGAGAACAGGCTGAGAGAGCAGAATTTACCTTCTCAACAGACACAAGAGAGTGTTTCTCCTACTTGTTCTAATACCACAGAGACCCCAAGGATGCTTTGCTTGGCTGATATTTTTCTGTTTTAGTCTCAGTGGGCAGACTTGGAGAGGAAAATAAAAATCACACTGACCTAGCTACCATATGAGACTCTTCATGTTTGCTAGCTGGTTCATGTTTTTTTCTTGGTGATCTTTCTGTTTTCAGGTCTATGAGAGGATGATAGCAACTGGTCCCATGCTAGACTGAGGTTCTTTGATAAACTCAGATGTAGCAAAGACTTTGTTTCCCAGGATGTTAGTGTATCAGAACAATTAATGCTGAACTGTAATATTTTGGCATGGAAAACCTAAAAAAGAGTAGGTTGTTTTATATCCCTCACTATAAATCTTGAGCAAAGCTGTTATGAGATGTGTCCATGATAGAGTTCTTTGAACAATATAAAGAGCAGACAAGTACTGGGGTTTGAAAGATAATGGCGAGCCAACCACATATAAAGACACCCTTTGAAATATTGAAGCATGATGTTGAAAACAGAAGGAATCCCCTGACTCACTCTACAGATGGTTTGGAAAAATTAAGCCATGCATGCAAGGTGTTCACCCTCATTTCTCTCCTTCCCTCCCTCTCCCCTTCTTACCCCTCTTCCTCCCTTCCCCTCCTTCTTACTCTCCCTCTTCTCCTCACCCTAATAATTACTGAGCACTTAATATATGCCTGGCACTGAACCATGTGTGTTCTAATAATTATACGTGGAATACAAGAATTTTAATAATATGTATATCTTAATAATTTAATAATTAATATTTCTTCCATTATACCTTTAAGTTGAGGCCTGGAACAATTAAAGTAAATCATCTAATATCACAAAACTTGCAAGTGCCAGAGTTGAGATTGGAAAATAGGCAGTGTGACTCCTGAGTTCCCTGTGTGTGGCTGGCACATCCTGAGTGCCCTATTATGTTAGTAATGAGCTTGATAATGACATTGGTGTCCAGAGTGGAGAAGGCAAAGAATGCAATACAGGACAGCTAGGTGATATGCTTGAGGTCACATAGCAGTCAAGGGCAGTAGAATTTATCCAGTTCTCTGAGTCTAAGACATTCTTTTTTATCTGCAGTGCCAAGTTGCTGAATTTCTGAAAAGAAACAGTATGTTAACTTCTAGAAACAAAGAATCTTCTGTCTAGGTTCCAAATTCTAAATTCTTACTTTACTTGAATTGTTCTGAAGTTTTAAGCAGAACTGCAGAGTGCTCTCTGAGACAATGTCAAAGAAACTATTTTAGACTAATATTTGTTTATTTATGGACAGAAAAAAAACAACTTGTGACAATATTAGTTTCAATATACTTTTTTCCCTGATCCAATTAAAAAAAAAAATCTTTCTCATCAGAAAAGTTGGAAACCATTGTAAGAGATTACACTGAATCTGTGGTCACCTATTTTATCAATAGTTACTGTCTTCTCCCCAACACGAAGACAATAGCTCTCACCCAGGATTAACTAGATACTCAGGGCCTGTGTGGACATGGCCGTTCATTTGAGCAGTTAACCTTAGGTGGGAAAGACCATGACTCCAAACACTGTGTAGTGGCTGCCAGTGATACCGGATTTTTAACACTGGATTTCCAGGCTCTTGGTCTCAACGATTCGATGAATGAATCGATAGACCATAGAACGAATAGTGAGGTTTTATTTACAGCTCAAAGAACCAAACCTCCTTGCAGGGCAGGATACAAGTGTTACAACTCTTATGAAAAGAACTCTTACAAAGAGCCAAGCCTCTTTGTAGAGCAGGATAGATGTGCTACAGCTCTTACAAAGGGCCAAGCCTCTTTTCAGGGCAGGATCAGCAGCAGAAGTGTTACAGCTACAGCTCTTACAAAGGACCAAGCCTCTTTGTAGGGCAGAGATCAGCAAAGGGCCAAGCCTCTTTGTAAGGCAGGATCAGCAGCGGAAGTGTTCCAACTCCTACAAAGAGCCAAGCCTCTTTGTAGAGCAGGATCAGCACTAGAAGTGCCGCAGCTCTCGCTTCTTCCTCTGGACGGTCTGCGATGGTCTGCTGAAGTCTTGTTCTTCTGCTCTATCTTCCTTGAAGGTCTGTGACGATCTGCGATGATCTTCGATGATCTGCCATGATCTGCCATGATCTGCCCCCGGGCTCTCTGCTCTGGGCCTTATATAGGTGTAATAGCTTAGCTGTGGACCAATCAGGAGCAGGATTGAAAATGGACCCAGGAGCAGGATTGAAAATGGGATGGGCACCAGTTTTCCCTTGATTGACAGGTCCTCTAGTGCTGCTCTACTGGAGCCTCTGGGGGAAGAAAGCTCCCTCACTTGCCCCAACCTGCTGGGTTTTTTGCCGGCTGCTGCCACCAAGACAGAAGTGGCAGATCCCCCAGGCCCTGCTCTGCTGAGCTGGCTGGGGTGCCACTTTTCTGGTATCACAAGTACCTTCCCCTCTCCTCCACTTGAGAAAGCCACCACGAGCGTGGACACCTGCAGTCAGCGTACTGCCCAGCCGCGCTCCATGTAGAGGCAGGGCTGGTAAATCCAGTCCTCAGCCCCACCAGTGTTAGAAGGAAAAAGACATTTGACAGTCAGCCCACAATGTCCTTCCCTATGTGACCTTCTTGTCCCATTTCAGCTTCATGAAATTATATCTCTATTCTTTCCAAGACTCAGCTGACCTGTTACTTCCCTCAGGAAGTCCCCTTTGCTTCCCATTCTGTAGCCTCGAGAATAATCTCACCTTTCAGGAAAATCCCCCAAGCACTTTTTAGTCCCCTAATCGCTCTTAATGTTCTCCATCTAGTGTATTGTGATCATCTCGTTCCCCTTAGAACATAAGACTTTGAAGGTAGAGACGGAATTTATCTGTAGTTTCTTCACAACTTGGAGGACAATGGTTTTCAGTCATTTGGGACTCAATGATCTAGGGTATATGTCACATAGTGACACAATTTCAGAAAGACCAAAATGACTACCAAATGCTTTTTTCTGTTAATACCTACGTGATGCTGACGCGTTGTCTGCCTGAGATTCATCTTTTAGTTGCTCCTGTGGTTTTAGTTTATTCCAAGAAAAGGAAAACTTCTAAACCAGTGGTTGGAAACTGAAAACCTTTGGGCTGTCCATCCCTCTGCCTATTCTTACATCGGGAGAAATCTGAGAATGGTTTTTACATTTTTAAATAATTGAAAGACGAAAAGAAAAACTAAAAAGAGGATAATATATAATGCACATTTATGTTATATTAAATTTTAAATGTAAAATTAATGTTATGTGAAATTTAGACACCAGTGTCTGTGAATAAAACTTAATGGAATCCAGCTGGGCCTTTTTGTCACTGTATAGTCTAAGGCTGGTCTTGCCCCCAAACAACAGAGTTTAGTATTTACAACAGGGGCCGTGCCTTCCTCAAGCTTAAGATTTTCAGCATCAGGTTCTTTGAAGAAAAAGTGTGCCAGGATGCCTCAAAAATGCCTACCTGGCATGAAAGAGGGCTGAGGGAGCCCTTCTCATAAAGGGGAGAATAAGTGAAGGCACAGAGGATTTGGAGAAAAAGCAATCTGAGCAAGAAAAGAAAGCAAGGAAGGGGAAGAGTCTTGCTTGGGGATGCGGATCTCCTGGGTTTTGTACACATGTGTTAGAAAAATCTGCACAAAGGATTCTCACAGTTTGCAGGCACGGCCAAGGTTGGGCAGACCTTGGGAATTTCCCAAGAGCTTTCTGCTTTCCTTTGAGGAGTTGACCTGGTTCCTTTGGAGAGTGGATGAGTTTATCGGTAATCCTTGATAATTCTGTGTATGAAGGCTCATAACTGCAATAAGATCTAAAGGGCTAGATGTCCCATTTTTCTCTGATTCAACTATAAAAATGTTTGTGTTCTGGGGAAATCCACGTTGTGTCAGTCAGTCTGCTTGTCTCTTCAGGACAAATCTATTTTAGATGAATGCCAATTAATTATTACATGTAGGGGAATCATTAAACATTCAGAGTTTTCAAATAAAGATACATTGATTGCAACTTGGCCAAGGCCGGTTCATCTCCTGAGACACTTGGAATGACAGGGGAGTTTTGTTTAGAAGTCTGCCATTTTCATCTCTCTCTCTTATTTTCTTATTGCAGGGTAACGCCCTGTACTTCAAATCTGCCAGAAATGTTACAGTGAACATTCTCAATGACCAGACTAAAGTGCTAACTCAGCTAATAACAGGTAAGAAAAGGAGGAAGCTTAGCCGTGCCTGGTCCATACTAGGCATTCAGCAGAGTAAAGGTCAAAGGAAGCCACCATGTGAACGTGAATGTCTGCTAACATATTTATGCGTTGCATTGAGAAAGAGAATGTAGTATGTATTCCACGATTCTGCTAAAAATCGGAGTCCCATCTAATCTTTATAACTTATGAAATCGAATTATACCTGCTTGGGGGGAAAAATCTATTTTCCATAGAACATGGCTTCTAAATACAAGCTAGCTGGTTCATCCGGTACTTAACCAAACAGAAACTCCCTGCTCCAATGCTGGAGGAAAATCTGTGTTGGGTGGATCAGGAGGAGAGCACAGCATCCACAGAGCCACACAGCATACTTTATGGGCTGTGAAAGGGTTTTTTAATGACAGTTTGAATCCATGCCATATTTGCTGTATGTGCTGACTTTGAACTTAACTCAATAGCAAGATGCAGATGTATCTCCACTGAAAATGTGTGTGCAGTTCCTTTTAATATAACAGATATGCTCCTAACAGCTGTGGAACGCACCCATTGGGTTTTAAGCTGCATATTCCTGAAATTTAAACAAGGGTTGGTTATTCACAATAACGATCATTATGATAAACATGGGCCTCGTGCTCTGCTAATGCGTTGAGCAGAATGATCAATGCCACCTCTGTAGGCTATAAGCAGCAATAAACAGAGAGGCATTCTGCAACCCCACAGTGAAAGGGAAAAGGAATGTTATGTCTGAATGGCATTGTTCTACTTCCAGACAGAAAATGCCATTTGTTTGGCTTCAGGGCTAAGAGAGAAGTATACAGATGGACGTTTTGAGAAGCCAGTTACCCAAATGCCCTGAAATGTTACTGTTACTGTGTCTAAAATATCCAGAGCCTCACTAAGAGATAAATCAGGAGGAAACAGGTAACTTTGTGCCCAGAGTCTTTTCTACTGAGAAGGGAGCTCCAGCCCCGGCACCCCCACCACAGGGTGCTGCATGGGTATCTAGACATTCACAGCTGGAGGCTGATTTGGACCATCCGCCAATCCAGGAACTCAGGGATGGTAGGGACCGCTGCACAACAGAACTCGTAATCCATAAACATGTTGTTTCAGCGTGCGCCTGGATTGCCGGCCTTGCTTATATAACATCTGGCCTGCAGTCACAGTGCTAAATAATTAAATAAACAGCTTCAGTAAGCAATGATTTAAGCAGCGTATGTGAAAAGTGCCTCCAGGAGGGAAATGAATCCAACCTTCAGCTCCCAGATTCCTGCGTTCAAAAGGAATTTACTTAGCCTGTTGATCATTGCCATTTATTTGCAGTGGGAGATTTGGTTTACTTGAGAGATTTTTTTTACTTTGATAAAGCTGGAACTGCCCAAATGACTATTATTCAGCAAAAAAGGTCCATGTCGCTCTCCCTCCCTCACGCTGTCTCTCCCCTCCTTTCTCCTCCCTCCTTCCCTTTCTCCCTCCCTCTCTCTCTCCCTCTCTACCCCTACCTCCTTCTCTGCCCTTCTTGCTCCCATCTTTGCCCACCCCTCTTTCCTTTACCTTCACCCACTCTGTCCTTGTCTTCTTCTTCCCCTCCACTTCTCTCTCTGTCCCTTCATTGCTTCCTCTGTCACCTCCCTTCCCCGGGCTCCCTTCTCTGTCTCCTCTCACCTCCCTTTCTGTCTCTTTTCCTTCCCCTCCTCCTTCCCTCACCTTTCTCTCTTTCTTCCTCCTCCCTCCTCTCTCTCCTCTCTTGCCTGCATCCCTCCAGCAGTGTTTGTCTTCCTGTCTCCCCAACTTAGGCCCTTTGGGAGCTGGATGACACCTATCCCTGACTCTGCCAGTCATGTACAAGGCAGCTACCATGAAAACAAGGTGGGCAAATAACATCCTGTTGCCAGCTAACAGAAGCCTTTCAAGATAATTTCTAGAAAGAATAGTATGCGATGTTCATGATTTCTGAGCCATACACACAGACCCCTCAAGCTTTCTCCTTCAGGGTTTTCCTTTTACTTCACATTTATGTACACAGTGGAAATCAGTGAGCTGTCCTAGCAGACAATACCTTCTAATGCCTGGTATACTTGGTGGTGTCCTTACTGAAGACACCTTACCTAATCATACCTGCCATCTAAGCGGTGAGGTCTACTAAGGCAATCCGAGGAGTCTCTGATTCTCCTGATCACCTAAAGAACACCATTAGAAATTTTAATGTTAGACGCTCAGGTAATGTTTTTATAGCAAATAATGCTTTCTTTACATGATATTTTTTTTTTTTTTGAGACAGAGCCTCAAGCTATCCCCCTGGGTAGAATGCCATGGCATTACAGCTCACAGCAACCTCCAACTTCTGGGCTCAAGCGAGTCTCCTGCCTCTGCCTCCCAAGTAGCTGGGACCACAGGCACCCGCCACAACGCCCGGCTATTTTTTGGTTTCAGCCGTCATTGTTGTTTGGCGGGTCCGGGCTGGGGATTCGAACCCGCCACCTTAGGTGTATGTGGCTGGCGCCTTAGCTGGTTGAGCTATAGGTGCCGAGCCACATGATATTTAAGTGTTCAAGTTTAGACCTCAAAAGAATATTTGACCCTGGGTGATGCCTGTGGCTCAAAGGAGTAGGGCACTGACCCCATATGCCAGAGGTGGCAGGTTCAAACCCAGCCCTGGCCAAAAACTGCAAACAAAAAAACAAAAAGAATATTTGACCCATAAAGCTATTGACTTACTATCTTGGTAGTGGGTCCAAGGAGGGAACCCCCTGAACTGCAAGGGGTAAAGCAGCAGGGATAACTTGGATCTTGATTCTTCGGGGCTATGGGGCTAGGATCAAGGGAGCTGGGGAGAGAAGTCAGCCTAGGTGGTCATCAGGCCTGTCTACCTCCCAGATTCACGGTGTGGCTTGGAGACTACTGATGCCTCCTGATGGGCTCCAACCTTCCTCCCTGTTTAGGAGATTAATTAAGGACGCACTTCACACATAGACTATCACACACAGAGGGGGATTAACTGAAGATTAGTTTCACATTAGAAATAGTGATTTTTTTTTCCATCCCTGGAGAGGAACAATGGGTTCAACAAGGGACCTCCGGAGCTGTCTCCAGCTCCATTTGCATTTTCTTCTAGAGTCACTTTTTAACATTCCAGCCATGTCCAGGGACGTTTGGCAGCACTGGGTAAAACTGACAAAGGACAAGCCGTCTGCCCCATTGAGCCTGCAGTAGCTCTGTGGGATTTGAGCTAACACTACCAATTACTGAGCTTTAGATACCCAGATGGTTCTGGCCCTTAATGAATTCCATTTCGTGTTCTGTGAAGCCGTGAAAAGCAAGATAACTTAATTGTGCTCTGTGTTCTCTGATTGCTGTAGTCTCTTTAGCTCACTCTCCTGCATGTTTCACAAACAGTTCATGAGTTCAGATGAAACTCACCTTATGCACAGAATGGTGTCTTTGACTCCTCAGGGGCCAAGTCTGATGATACTGCCCAAGTCCACGGGGCATGGTCCAAACAGCTGTCCCTTTCCTCCAAGTCACATCCCAGCTTGGCCATGTGAATGGTTCCAAACTGGGCACACTGTACTCACCCTCTATCTATCCTGAGGCCATCCATTCATTCATTAGCACCTCATTACCTCCTCATCTCCAATCGCTCCACTAAAGTTGGTAACCCTAAAGTATTGACAAATAATAAGTGTTTTACTGAAGGTGTTGATGCAATTAAGACAACTTTCAGAAAAACTCAATCCAGATTCCTTATCAGATATTTCAGTTCTTTCAAGCTCTCCCTTCAACTTATCTCTTCTGCTCATCCCTCTTCCCCCAAAGAGCTCATTTTCTAGCTGCTCCAGCCCCTTCTTGCTGGACAAATAAACCCCTCCTTCCTTCTGTGGAACAGTTTGGAGAGCTCAAGTCCAGATCCAGATCTGCCATCAGCTTGCTCGGTGACCTTATGAGAGGCCTCAGCCTCAGTGCCACTTGTCTCTCTCACCTGCCCTATGAAAGCAGCAGGTAGAAAGATGACATCTCGGTCTCATGACACTTGGCAGCTCTGGGCCACCTCTTCTGTTTCAGTCTCCAGCTCATTAAGGAGCCTTTCCAGTCCCCTTCTTTCTGTCAGAGGACTAGTGTGGATGAACTGGCAAGAGATGAGGTCTGCCAAGTAGATGTGCTACGTGGACAGGAACGTGTACTCATGGGTCACTCATCACTAATTCTTTTCAATATGTTGTTACCATTACAGTAGAATAATGTTAATGCCGGTGATGACCATAAAGAAATGACCACAAGTGCTGTCCTCTACATTTCATAGCACTTTTCTACCCACAGATTTCTTTTATAAATACAAAATCATTTGATCCTTTCAATCTGTCTATGAAGTAGATAGAGTAGGAGGTGACCATCCAATTTTATAGATGCAGAAACTGTGAATCAGAAGAATCGAATGACTTACTCAAAGTCACATTTCTAGAAAATAAGAGTGAGTTGGAACATGATTCATGTCTTCTGATTCCTCGTCTGATAGTCTTGACAGAGAGAAAAACTGCCCCAAATGTCCGGGGGCTGCCTAGCTCCATCAACTAGGCATTACCTAGTGTTCTGCTTGAACATAAATAGTTTCACAGAACGTCAACCAGACAAGGCCACTCCATGGCCCGTGATAGAGCAAGACAAACTGAAACAGAAAAACAAAGACAACTCTGATCGTGTCTGAACACAGATCAAAATATAAGCTTTTGTCCAGATCATAAAGCAAACCAAACATCTTTCTGTCCTGGTTGGTGTGGGTGACTGCTGTTTCTTTATTCATGATAGTTTTAGCATTTATCTAGTCTTTCCTACCTCTAGATGAGATCTGTTAAGATAATCATAAAATTACTTCTACTTCCTAACAATATTTAATCCAGAGTAAAATCCTGTTTTCTTAAACTTTCCCCCAAATAATCTAACATAAGGTAAGATGCTATAGTCAGGTCTTCCTAATAGCTTCTTACTAGATGCTTCATGGTTCCCTGGGCTTTGCTTTCTCCTTCACTGCAATGAGTAAAAGGCCCAATTTGGTTAACTATAGGTGTGTTACCAGTGGTCTATGGCTAGAAGTCATTGAGGACTCTTGCATTGCTCTTTATTATTAAGTAATATTCTCTTGAATATTCTCTTGAATATAGAAGGAAACGAGTTTTATATTAGAATCTCCTGGATCTCCTGGACAGTTTTGAAAAAATACACAATTTCTGGACTCTACCCTCAAAAATGTTCCTGTAGGAATTTCTAGACCAAGAGATACATGTATTTTGATCTGAGTTATGTGAGTGAGGATGACTACACCCCTAGATTATTCTAATGTATTCTTGCTGACCACCTTTTGGTAGCCACCTGAAGTTCAAGTATTCCGGTAGATCCAGCTCTGATTGGAACGACGCCTCCTTTTAGAAATTCTAACTCATTAACCTGTTTTACTTTTTTCATAGAAAAAAAATCTAGAAATTTGGGGGTTTACTTATAAATAAGTTTTTAGACTTATGTTGGTCTGTTTACAATAGAATGTGAGTGCTGCGAGATCAGGGGTCTTATCTTCCTCATGTACTACCTCCAAGAACATCATCTATTGTCATCTCATAAATCCTCCAACCTTTTTTTTAATTGAATAAAATTCTAGCATAAAAGATTCAACAATTTCCAAGGCAATTAATTACAATATGTTATAACCCGTCCTGCCAGGAAGTGATCTATATACTGAACAAATAGATCTCTCTTGGTGTCCAATATAGCCAGTGGGTTAAGGGTACACAGTGAAACAGATTTCAGCTGAATTTAAAGGAGCTCTTTCTGACAATTAGAAATAGCCAAAGATAAGCAGTTGCCTCAAGAAGTGGTGAGCCTGGTGCTTTGGCACATTCAAGCAAAAATCCACAAGTATTTGCCAGTATTTTGGTGGTTAGCTGAAGGAAATCTCATTCAGGCATTTAGTTTGGAGGAAGGACACGATGGTCTTTAAAAAATCATAGCCTCCGAGAATGTGATTAGAAGTAATGACAAGACATGGCTAAAGTCCTGAGACTAATTTTCACAGTTGGCTTTTGAAAACCAATCCACTTAACATGAGAGTCCAACACAATCTTGTCAGATGTAGGTTCTGCGAAAAGCTTTCTGAGTCAAATGCAATGATACTAATATATTCTCTCTCTCTCTCTCTTCCCACCCCACCCCCACTTCCTCTAGGTCCAAAAGCAGTAGAGGCTTATGGCAAAAAGTTTGAAGTAAAAACCGTTTCTGGAAAATTGCTCTTCTCTGCAGACGATAATGAAGTGGTAGTAGGAGCTGAAAGATTACGAGTTTTAGGTAAGGAAGTTTTAATCATTTAATTGGTTTAATGCTACTATGTACATTGTAGAGGAAAAGTGAAATGGTATTATGGACTGAATATTTGTGTCCTCCCAAAATTCATATTAAATTGCAAGGGGATGGTATTAGAAGAGAGGGCTTTTGAGGGGTTATTAAATCATGAGAGTGGAGCCCTGGTGAAGGGAACCAGTGCCCTTATAAGAGGGTGAAGAGAGTGGAGCTCACTCTGCCATGGGAGCCTGGAAGGAGAAGTCAGCAGTCTGCAGGGAGGGGGAGACCTTCACGAAAACCAGCAAGGCTGGTACCTGATTCCAGGCTTCCAGCCTCCAGAACTGTGAGGAATAAATTTCTGTAGTTTATAAACTACCCGATCTATGATGCTTGGTTATGGCAGCCTGAACTGACTAAGACAAATGGTGTCTAGAAGAGAGATTTAGTCCAATTTCCTAGATTCTTTTCAAACAAGGCAGTTGGACCTCCCTGAGGCTGGGCCTGGTTAAAGTCTCTCAGATTATGCAGCCTCTTTGGCACATCTTTCAAGACTAAGCTTTGGTGAGAAACTGGGCTCACATGCGTACTTGGCTTCTAACCCCTTCAGTCACCCACTGGTTTTGTGACTTTGGACAAGTTCCTGGTGTTACTAAGCCAGTTTACTTTTCTACTCAAGACTAAGAACAGACATAATCTTAAATTGTTGCAAGGGTTAAATGAAACCGTGTTATATGCACTTATCACGGTGCCTAGAGCAAAATAGTACTCACTCAACGCTCAATGGTGGTGTTACTACTCGTGCTACTAATACCATTCATACTATATTACTTTCCCTTTTTGGCTTCCTAAGATTCACTGTAGCATAGTGGTCAGGCTCTGAAATTAACCTACTACGATTCTAACCCCATTTCTAACCTGTGCCAACTGTGTAACCCAGGGGTCCTCAAACTTTTTAAACAGGGGGCCAGTTCACTGTCCCTCAGACCGTTGGAGGGCTGGACTGCAGGCCCCGGGACGAGTCGGCTGCTAAGCAGGACAGGCAGCAGCAGCAAAAACACCCGGTGGGCCGGATAAATGTCCTAGGCGGGCAGCATGTGGCCCGTGGGCCGTATTTTGAGGATGCGGGGTGTAACCTTAAGCAAGTTATCTAACCTCTCTGTACCTGCTTGCTTAGCTAGCTATAAACTGATGTAATGGAAGTATCAATCTACCTTCCAAGATTGCTGGGAAGAGTACATAAGATAATCTATGTAAAACAGTAAGTTGGCTAAAAGAATAAGTGTTCAGTAAGTGCTAAGTGTTATTATCCTAAATTATCAAGTTATTTTTATTGGCTGTTATTTTTCCCCGTATTACTGTTTGTAGTCTGCATCTTCCTTCTCCTCTGTGATTCTTGTCCTCCTGATCATCATCCCCTCCCTCAGTCAACTTGTCTGGTTCGTCTCTCCCTCAGTCTCTGTCTCTCAACACACGTTCATTTCTCATTTCCTTGCTGCATGACTGTTAGACCTCCCGCCCCCAGCCCTGGTGTCTTCTCCGAGTCCTAGATCTCCCTTTCCATCTGGATATTCCAGCAGCCTCTCAAATTCAGTGGGTCTTGAATGCCCAGCATAGTCACATATGCAGAAATACACACGCAGGTAGGTACAGCCACACATTTACATTCATGCACACACATCCGTCCCCCCCGCCTCTGTCCTCCCACCTCTGTGCGGCCCTGACTTCTTCCCTATTACTCTTCCTGGCCCCATTATGCTGCTTTCTCCCAGTCCCCAAACTTCAGCAGTGTCCTGACCATGGTCAGCTCAGAAGAGTCAGAAGATGGAAGTGACCATGTGCACAGGCCTGGCTGGAGGCAGGAATGCAGGCTGCCGAGGCCACGAGGCACTCTAACCTTTAGCCAGCAGTTTACCTACAGCAGGATCTGAAAAAAACTCTCTTTGTGTTTCAAGGATTTGCTTTTTCTTATCTTTAAAATGAAAGTTAGCCAGGGAAGAGGTCTTTAGAAAATATTTTCCAGTGACAGAAGCTTTTAAAAATAAAATTCTAGGCCATGTATGGTGCCTTATGCCTATAATCCCAGGACTCTGGGAGGCCAAGGCAGGAGGATAACTTGAGGTCAGGAGTTTAAGACCACTCTAAGTAATGGCAAGACCCTATCTATATAAGAAATTAAAAATTAGCCGAGCATAGTGGTGCACGCCTATAGTCCCAGGTACTCAGGAAGCTGAGGTAGGAGGATCACTTGAGCCCAGGAGTTTGAAGTTGTTATGAGCTACGATGATGTCACTACACTATAGCCCTGGGCAACAGAGTGAGACCATGTCTCAAAAAGGAAAAAAAAAAATTGATATGTAGCCTCAATAGATAAAAATTGAGAAGAGACCAAGATTGGTCTGAGTTGTAGGTAAGGATTTAGAAAGGGAGATGTCAAGTATTAGAATCTTAGCTATATAATTTCATTCTTTGTCTGTGTCCTCTGGGGACCACTTAGAACTATTCCTTAAAACTCCCTAGGTGAAAAATCTTTTAAAAGTACAAAGTCTATTGACTACTTGCTATGATCTAGGTACCACGTCTTCTATGCCTTCTTATATTTCCACCTCACAAACATCTTGGGAGATGGGCACTATTTTTATCCCCCTGGTTTTCCAGATGACAGAACTGAGCCCAGCCATAGAACAGGCTGACAGCCAGGACGCCTACCTGGGTCTTGTGAGTGGAGAGGGCTTTACCTTTAAGAACTATTCTTTGCTGCCTCTTCTACTTCATCTCATTTTTAGATGAGGTCACTAAGCCTTGAAAAGCTGAAGACATTTCTCTAAGATCAAGTGCCAGCGAGCCATAGGACCGATGTTCAAACTCCTGCCTATGGATTCTGGCTTCCGTGTTTTTCACCACCCAGAAATGTGTTCATCGTGAGCTCTTGCCACTGGCGCAACTATGCTCTTTTCTATTTGTAGAAATGGCATTTCCATTGTTAATTCTGGGCTGGGTGAGGGAGACACAAAAGCTTTAAGCTCTCCCCTTTTTCAAGAGTACTCTGCTGTACCAGCTCTCAAATAATTGCCTGGGGGAAAATGTGATGCCATCTCACACCCAGATCATTTTGTGCAAGTGGGTCTGGCCTTCACATCTGACTTTGAAAAGACACAGTATAATTGTAAATGTCCAAACACTTGGCCTTCATCAGGGTACAAAAGTCTTGATGGTATCTTTTATGAATGGCCACCCTAGCCCGTGATTGCTTAGACAAAGGGCTGGAAGGTGACTGTATTTGTTGTTCACTTTGAAGCAGGTGGATACTTTTGTTGTTTGTGGTTATGTTTGCGATATTTCCCTTAAAGAGTAGTGTAGGATAAACATCAGTGGGAGCAATTGCTTTTCTATGTGAGCGTGTAGAAAAGAAGCATCAAAATAAGTACGGCTGCTGCTAGTAATACTTAAAAAAAAGAAAAAAAGGAAATGACCACCCCTCAAATCTCACATCAACCCTCTCAGTGAAAAGAGCCTAGTGTGTCACAGGCATGAGCTTCCTGTCAGCTGGGGTTTGGCCATATGGTGTGGAATGAGAAGTTTAGGAGATTTTGTTTTCCGCTTAATGAGAAGCTTGTCTTTTTGAGTTGTCAGACTGCACACACTCCTGGGAGGGTCTGCGTCTGGATGCGCCTTGCATGGCAGTGTCTAACCAGGCTGAATCTGAGTCCTTGCTCAGCCACTTAGGATCTGAATGACTCTACTTACTCCCATTTTTCTCCATAAGCTTTCGTTTCCATCTGTATAAAACAAAAAGAAAGGAACAAAGTGTAGAAAGATGAACAAATAAAATAAAAAAAAATAAGTAAATGTTATGTAAAAAGTCAATTATTTTTAGTTGGTTGTTGAGTGGGAATATGCAGTGGGGGCCTCAGAAGATAATGCCTCTTGGATATGGTAGCTTCACAGGTAGGTTCAGAACAATTTAAAATTTTTTTCTTTTCTGGATAACCATACATTCCTACCTATCCAGTTTTCAGGACAGTGACAACCTTGACCACACTCAAGGGAGCTTGGGTAGTATGGCACAAAGACTCATAACATTGTTTCATAAAGAATGGTTCCATTGCCTATAGCTCAACTGGCTAAGGCGCCAGCCACGTACACCTAAGGTGGCGGGTTCGAATCCCCAGCCCGGACCCGCCAAACAACAATGACGGCTGCAACCAAAAAAAATAGCCGGGCGTTGTGGCGGGCACCTGTGGTCCCAGCTACTTGGGAGGCGGAGGCAGGAGACTTGCTGGAGCCCAGGAGTTGGAGGTTGCTGTGAGCTGTAATGCCACGGCACTCTGCCCAGGGGGACAGCTTGAGGCTCTGTCTCAAAAAAAAAAAAAAAAAAGAATGGTTCCATTACCTGGAAACTTTTACCCTAGAAAAGATGTATGTGTGTGCACATGCATGCACAGGGGTGGGGGGCAGATGTAAATGTAGGTAGCCTGTGATTCCTCATCTCTCATATATGCCTGTCTTTCCCCAGGAAAGGAGAGCAGGCAAGAGCCATTCCGTTGAGTAACTGAGAGCAAGGTGTATTGTTACACCTGACCTGTAATCCCGGTTTCTGTCCTTTGCTAGCCAGTGACCTTGGATATGTCACGTCACCATTTCCCTCCTCTGTGACATACACTAATGGTGCCTGGCGCTCAGGCTTGTTGGGAGAACTGGACGGCAAACACATTTAGAGTAAATAGTACAGGGTGCGGCGCACAAGGAGGCACCGGGTACTGTTGGTGATGGATTTTGATGTGTAATTGATACGTTGTAATTAAACATATTTGTGGGGTACAATGTGACATTTTGATACATGTATACATTATTGAATGATTGAATCTGGTACTTAGTATACCCAACAACCTGTACATTTGGTATTTTTTGTGAACATTCAGAAACCTCATTCCTAGTTATGCTGTAATAGATGATAACTTACTGTCAACTCACTGAGCAATAAAGCCCCAGCATTTATTCTTCCTAAC